CATCTCGTTGCTGATGAAGACTCTCAGTGTTTTCCCAAGTGGGCCCAGAGCTGCCCGAACACCACTACATTTCCACAACCTTGAACATGGTTTGAGAACACCAGGTCTTCTGTGTGTAAATCATTCCAATACGATGCAAGTCCATCATGATCATCCAAAATGAGTTTCTTTTCTGATCACATCACATCACATCACATGCTTTCATTCTTTCGTTCATGTCATGTGTTCATTTCCTCAATTCAGTCGTTGGTTTTCGAGTTTTGTAAGACATTTCTAGCCTTAAGAATGCTAGGCTGGGTGATTTCTTCAGTTCTCTCCATATATTCCATCAAATTTGTTGGTAGCGTTGTAATGGCTTGATATCTACATCAAAAGCAAAAAATCAATAGAACACTGAACAGCGAAAAATGTATTACTTTGCTAAAACTCCACTTCCTACCAGATATAGTAGAAGGTGAAATATTCTAGCATAATGGATAACCTTAATTACATCACGTGTAGCAAAGAAACTTCTCACTGATGAAGACGTTGCAAGGTCACATGTTTAACCCGTTCAAAATTTGACCTTTACATAATCAAAGTGATGTGCAACAAAAAAAGCCAAAGAACTTTCAAGCGCTTAGGGTTTGCTATCAAGAATTCCAGAACATTTCTAATGAAACAGTTTTGAAGTTGCATACTTTTATCCCACATAGAATTGATTTCGTGACAATAGGAGCCATGTATATTGATTTCGTGCTAATTAGAGCAATACATTTTGATTATGACTTTTACTGTCCCTAAACGTGTAAATAAATTTATTTTGTGCAATGTCAGTTTTTCTTTAATCAATAGAAGCAGTGAATTCTACGTTTCTTCTTGTGACTTCTAATTTTAACATGTCTACATAGTCGAATATTATTAACGGGCTTACTCAACATTTACAGTGACGCAAATGGCTGGCGTAACAGAGATTAGGAGATATGACAAAAAGACAAACTTTACTAAGGGCTACAAATGACAGGAAGTAGTGGAAAGGCATGATCGTCCATGTCTCGACACATAGGAAAAGAAAGAAAATTATTTTCTCTATGTGGCCCATTTATTCTGCTAGCCCCTGTAGATAGATAGATAGATAGATAGATAGATAGATAGATAGATAGATATGAACAGACTGAAATAAATAAAATAGACAGATAAAGAAAGAAAGAAAGAAAGAAAGAAAGAAAGAAAGAAAGATAGTCATCTCAATATTCTTATCAATAGAGGAAACAAATTGAATGATAGCCAAGGTGTTATTTTATTTTTCTAACCAAGCTAATCATAGAAATCGATATTATAAGTGAGTCGTGTGTTTGTTTTTTTTATGGGAGTAAAAGATATTGTTTAAATTGTTTGTTTTTTCAATATAAAACACAATTTATAAATGTTTTTTAAACTGAAGTGGTGGAATGAAATCGAAAAAGTTGTTTACCGATAGCAACAGCCAGTCATTAAATTTAATGTAAACTTTTTAGGTCCTGTAACGAACAGGGCTAGACTTAGTAAATACCAGATATAATGTAAACCGTTAGACATTAACCCACATACATTTGGGTGGGTAAGGGTCGGTTTAGATAATGTCTTAAACCTATCGGTAGTCGGAAAGCCACTCAAAAACATTCCCTGGGGAACATTTGATATACTAACTGTTGAAATGAGGTGGGGGGAATATACTCAAAAATTTTATTTAAAACAAAAATTAAAAAAGAAGCAGTAAAGAAAGAAAGAAAGAAAGAAAGAAAGAAAGAAAGAATCTGCAAATCTTTTTTTCCTTCTTTTGTCCAACAATGCTCTGTGATTGGCGAATTGTGAGGCATGATCCAGTAAAAAAATGCATTTACCTGGGTAAATCAGTAATTCTGTAGCCTAATGATGAAAAATATTTATTTTATACAGCAAATATTTATTTTTCAACACGAACACAGTGTCATCCACGTATGCTATTTTGTGAAGAGGTCCTGGGTATGACGATAAACTACATCCGGCAGCAAGGCCTCTAAACGAGAGATTGGTCGTTTCGAGGAACATGGAACGCCTCTTAATTGCTGTTGTCCCTAGGTCCACCCTGACCCTGGGTGGTAACACCTGTTAGGGTCCCAGCTATTGTCATATAGTGAACCCCAAACAAAACACTATGAAAGTATAAAAATACATTGGTATAGTAAAAATAGCAGTAACATATTTATATATAAAAAAATGAACAATACATTTTATCAGTAATTGAAGGTTTACTATTGCGTTTAACTTATTATATTTAGGCATTGAATAACCCACAGAGGTAGATATGCCACGAAACAAAATCAACCAAACAACCAACATGAAAGTTCTCTTTCAGGGCATTAATCCATATAATATTCTACAATTTCTTAAAGATATCAAACTGTTTTCCAGAATATAACTTCAACAAAACTACAACAAAAACTACGCATATCAGTAATCATGTCCACGCAAACATGTACATGCACAAAAACTGAATAATGATCTACCATGTATTCAGTTGTGAATGCTGTGTAACAATATATGTTTATTCAAAGCTCTCATGAAAATTAAATTTCAGTATTAAATGACCCACAAGGAGTTGATGTGCCGTTAAACAAAAAAAGCAAATCATTTTGTGAATATTATGACTGCAGATAACAACTGGCACATGAGTTCGCTTTTAGCCGGAAGTGGAGTAAATGTTTCGCCACATTTTAGATGGGAGAAGGCACCCAATCCCTGGGATTCCAATCCTGCGGCAACACCTTCTTCATTGCAGTAAGAGAGGAAGGGTCGGTATAATATCGATGCCAATGTGACAGTGATCGCGGGAACTGGAAAAATGTTGTCCTTGAACCATATACCTACGTATGTGCATAGCGCTGCCCACGTTAAAACGACCTTGTGTCACATCCTGACTTAGTGGAGTGACTGGGTAAATATACTTGGTTGGTCTTCTCGTTCTCAATATACTTAATTCAGATACGAATATTAATCACACAGATCTAACATTACAAAATGAACGTTTAGTATCAAAATGCAATTAATTACTATGTAATTAATTTTCCTGTTCTCGTATTTTCATTCATTGTCGAAACGAGCTTTCAATTTTCTCAAAAGAGAATTTAATTAATAATACATCGTCGGATTTAGCATTTATCTCCTGTGTAACTGTACACTGAAGGTTATAAGTATTACAAGGCTCATATTAGTTCAAAAGTTAAGTTTAACTTCCCCGTCCTTCTCTTCATCCTTTCCTCTGTCACGACTCTTTACTCATACTCCCATTCTCTGTAGCGTGCTAGTGGCACTCCCGCCTTGCTTGGGGTGAAATGCTTAATAAAACATTCATGTTCAAGTTTGCTTCTTGTAATTGTACTTAAGTTGTACATTTTTAATTTTTGATTCATTTAAAAATATTTTGCTCGCAGATAGCTTTATTTATAGTATGTGCAATCTTATTGGTTATTTCAGTAACTGATGAAATTGTTAAAGAGATATTTTTTTTTTCTTTTTTGCGTAAGTACCAGAAAAATATGTTGTAACAAGATTAAATTATTGTTCCACTCGATTTTTAGACGATAAGAGTTATCGCAACTTAATATAAGTTAAAACATATACTTGAAGTTAAATCCTACGCATGGAATCCCACTGGCCTCTCATTGTTCATCTTAATTTTATCTTATTTTATTTTTCCTTCTATCTTTTATCTTTATTTTCTTATATGCATCCAGCCCGACTGGTAGTAAGAAACCTGAATATTAGACGGACAGTTTCGTGGTTCTTGCAGTATTATAATGTGCATAAATACGTGTCTCTGCAAACACATCCAGTGGAAAACCTGAGGCAACACTATGCAGTAGCATGCGCCACCTTCCAGCCGATTTTTATTGTCTTAGACGATCCTCAATGACTATTATTCTTGACCTTTACCATCTTCCATAATGACGAATCCGACAAAACAAAATAAAACTAAACCAATTTCAATAGGAATATATAAGTTCGTCTCTCGACCGGTTTACAATCCTCTCCGGCCTTTCGAACAGGAGTAGAGGTTTATCCCTTGTTTGCTGGTTAGGATTGGGTGTCTGGATCCTTCTAAAGTTTTCTTATTCCCTTTCATCCCCAGTAACCCCTTGCGTCTTTGTGGCATTTGCTTGGTGAATAATATATATATATATATATATATATATATATATATATATATATATATATATATATATATATATGTTTTCCTCGAATTTAATGTAGGTTTTGTGTCGTGTTATATTCAAATAAAAATGCTAGACAAGAAATCATCTTTTGATTAATATTTTTATTGCTGTGATATGATTCAAAATCGAGGAATATATACACACACACGCGCGCGCACACACACACACACACACACACACACACACACACATATATATATATATATATATATATATATATATATATATCGATGCCATGTATGGTGTAAAACTCGTTCAGAAATATCTAAACTGTCAGCTGTATACAACCACTTTCTCAGGTGAATGGTTAAAATGGCTTTAAGCGAGTGAAGCCTGTGAGTCTTGAAAAGACTACACTACTTAGAACCTTGTGAATTGGCGCTACAGAATCACAAAGAACTGCACCAAATACCAGAAACCACCTCACTTGAGGACATTCAACAATAACAACAACTAATATGGATAGCACATGTATTAATATAATCAAGATGTTGACGTTCCACACTACAAATAAAAGTTTAGGAAGGAAGCTCACATCAATACTGGAAAGGGCAATAACATTTATTGAACTTGAGAAACCTATTTCTAAAAATTGTTGGGTCAGCTAGATGTAATCGGAAGTTCTATACTAACAGTTTCTTTTCTCGCACTTCTCGCTTGTAGAACTCTCTTCCAGCTCCGTGCTTTCCGCTCAACTTTAATTTTCAAAAATGTAAATGCAATGTCAATCGCAAGTTGAAATTTTTATAGTTTTCCCAACATCAATTCACAAAGGTATGGAACTAACAGCCACACCACGTTGAAAACCGGTTCTCGTATAATCACCGAAGTTAAGAAACGTCGAGCCTGGTCAGTACCTAGATGGGTGACCATTTGGGAATACCAGATGCTGAAAGTTTAAATGTACAGGTGGTGTAAGGGATATTGGCTTGAAATTGTTAATCGGAGAGCCGAGTTCCAATGCCTATTGGGTTTGTTATATTCACTTACACGCAGATACCCTTGAGAAAAGTATGAATCCACCTCTTCTTCCCCAACTATGGGTTAATTCAGCGTTTCTCAACCGGAGTTCCCCGGAACCATAAGATTCCGCAAAAGGTTCCCAAGGGTTCCGCGAGAACAGTTGAGACAAGCTAATACCGTTTAATGACACTTTTGAATTAAGGATTTGTGTAGCAAAAGACAGGCACAGGCATCACTTTAGAGAAGCATGTTTCACTTTATCAAATGACTCTGAAAGTAACATTTTCTTAGCCCATGGTTCACAGGACATTTTGCCTTGATTTACCTTATGTCTTTTCAACATGACCAGTAAAGGATAAAAGAAGTAAAAAAAAAATAACTGATACAGCAATTATCTGTTTTCGTTTTGTTTACATTTATATTATAGGTATATGATATTGGTTACTTATGTTTATTTTTTTACGTTTGAGTTAAGAATTTGTTTTTGTGTGGATGAAAACTCCCTGATGAAGTATTATAAACGAACAGTATGAATTTTATTTAGTATTACGGAAACATTTGACAAAGAAGTATTAATTTTTCCTTAAACCATTTATTCAAAAATATATACTATGATATTTACCACATGAACTACGATGAAAATAAAATGAGAAAGATATGGTATATAATTTTATTTTTTGCGCAGGGGTTCCTTGAGACATGTAATTTATTTTAAGGGTTACGCAAGGGTAAAAAGTTTGAGAAACACTGGGTTAATTAGTAAGACTTTTAATACTAAAACATTAATATCTCCATCTTCCTCCACCAAAAAAATTCTTACAATCTAAATATATTTTCTGACTTTAAATAACCTGCAAAGTGCTGATAAGCTGTAGAAACTAAACTCAAAAATTTGATTCGAGTAACAGTCAGTATTGGAGGGCATGGTAGCGCCTTGGATTGAAGAACTGGAAAGTTGATTTTTTATTCCAGTTGGATTCATTACATTCCCTTAAGAAATGTATAAATCCATCTTTTCTCACCCTCGCTCTAGCTATGGATAAATAACAGGATAGACTGTTTCCTATAGCCTTGGGAGACAACCAGTCTAGGAGGACAACTCTAAATTCAAAACATGATAAAAGTAATAGAGTAGACTGGGTTCTATAGCCTTGGTTGGTAACTAGTCTAGAAAAAAAATTGAATAGAAACCAGTCTGGGGAGGCTAAATCGCCGAGGAAACATCATTGCTACTGAGGCTGCAGTATATATGGTGCCCCTACGACTCTAATGGGTGACGGGACTTGTATGTATGAATATTACATCGGTAATCGGAAAACCGACTAAATAGAAAAGACAAACTGGAAATAAGAAACGAGAAATTCTATATATACCAACATGTTTTTGTTTTTCAGTTTAAAGCCGTCAATATGAGTTACGATAAGAATACTGCAATGGCTAACGAAACTATATCTCCTGAAAAGAAACTTTTTCCGTTTCTCAATAAACTGATAGAATTTTTAAAATCATTTAACCCAAAGCAGGGCGATAAAGACACTAAGACACATGGCTTTACTGAAGGTGAAAGAATCCGATAAAATATTAAGCCGAGAGAACAATAAAAGAACAGGAATTAAGAAAAGAGAAGATGATTTTTAAAGTTCAATTTTGACTGGAAAGCTTAAACCGGAAGAGAGTTCCACAGGCAAGAAGTGCAAGAGAAGAAACTACTAGCATAGCACTTACGGTTACATCCAGCAATTTCAACTTTAAAAAGATGACACCTAGCTGCCAAGCTTAATTATCTTAATGTTGAATTTTGATCTGAAATATTCACTGCATAATGTTCGATCTACATGATTAACACTCACAACTGCATTAAGTGCATTGACAAAGGAGATTATGTTGAAAAATAACATTTCTTGTATAAAATAAATGTTTCTTTTCTTTTCCTTTCAGCGTGTACTTATTGATATATTTACGAAGTTGCAATGTAATCAATCTCACATAAAAGACAACATTCTGAACGCTGTTTTTTTTTAAGGCAGACGTAATTTCCTACCTTTACCGCCTTTCTATCCTTTTATCCTTTTATGACGTGCTCAGCTAAAAATACTAGAAAGACGCGCGAAAATTTCGCCGTTTCCCTATTTAATTTTTTTGATTCTTAATTCTTAACTCTTTAAGCTCATGATTGAATAAGCTCATGGCAATTTCTACGGCAACAAAATATCCGTAGAAATTCCTCTATCGCATCGTTAAATTGCAATAACAATCATAAATATGAATGCTGCTCGTTATTTTAAAAAGTGGATAGAAATGAAAAGATTTAGAATTGACAACTTTTTTTTTCCATTTCACCGAAACAGTCGTTAAACACTTTTACTTCCTTCCTTTCTTTCTCTTTTTAATTTTCTCACTGAAATCAAGTAATTTTTCCCCCTTTTCACGCGATTAAGACGGAATAGTCCATTTTTAATGAAATATTGGTAGGAGAGGTTAAACATTTCTATCTTCCCTTATTTCTTTCTGGACAAATCCCCGTCTTACGAACATTCCTCTTAATAATAAAACTTAAATAATTCATCAGACGATGTTATTTTATTTAATTTATGATAACTGGATTTTTGGCGATTACCTACTCGTTTTTGTCGTTCGATAGTATGCATCTGAAAAATGACGCTTTTATTGCGTTCGCGATTGTTTCTCGGCCTTTTGGCTGGGGTTGGAGTTTAAATTAAGCCCAAGTGAGTAAGGGCTAGGTTAATTTCTCGGGCGCTTAAGCGTCCCCGAAAGGGTAAGTGCCGAGGCGCGGCCACCGATGGCCACGGCCGAGGGCGCTTGAGCAATTTTTCCACGGTATTGCCATTAAACCCACTTTAAACTGACCTTGTATCATATTCGGTAGAGACGTGGGCGCTTTGAGAAATAACCGCTTCTCGGCCAATATCGAAGTGTGTTTTTATCAGCTTAATTTTTCTCTCTCCACTTCTATCTTCTTTCTTTCATTTGCTCACTGAAACCAAGTAATGTCTTTTCTCCGCTTTCCACGGGATCAAAACACGGAAAAGTTCATTATTTATGAGGTATTGACAGTACGTAACGGTCGTGCGAACTAACGAAGAGAGGAACAAGCACAGTTATAATAGGAAGCTTATATTTTTTTAGAATCATACGTACTAGAACAAGAAAAAGAAATATGGTACAAATAAACTGAAAACGGGTCGCTTTTTCTATTTGTTATTGTATAACGTTTTACTAACAATAAATAATTACTTTTGCTTCGCCTTTTCCAAATTTATACTCAACACAGTTTCTTTTGTCCTTGTCGCCAAACCTCCTGTATATTATTTTCCTTTTGATATGTAATACGATTTTTTTTATTTAATTCTTGCAGATTTCTCAACATTTTTTCTTACAGATAATGAACACCAATTGACCAAAGATTATAAGAGAATTTAATTAAGTATGTGCAAAAGTTCTCAGCTCACTTTTTCTTTTTTTTTTTTTTTTTTTTTCTGAATGATTGAATTTAAAACTCACAGAATAGTGGCAAGGGGTGTGGGGTCACGGGTAATATACGTAACGAGGTTGTATGATTAAATTGTGAAAGTCTTGTGTTAACGCCAAAGGAGATTATGCAGTGTATTAATGTAGAGGCTTGAGTAATTTCAGGGAGCATTCTTCTTTTATGTACCGTGTCCCTACAGAACATGGGCGATCATGGCTCTTCACAACTTCCTATCCTTTGTGGCTCTATGCAGCGTTTTTCTTTTAAAACTTTTTACGCGGACAGAAAATGAATTCAGCAGATATACCAAAATTAAATAAAATAAAAAAAATAAAAAAAATGGAAAGGGGCATAAGACAAGGATGTTTCTTCTCACCGGGTTTATTCAACCAATACAGGAAGGCAATTCAGAGAGAATTAGAAGTCTTACCAGGATTCATTGTACAGCCACAATTTTAACAATATAAGAACTCACAGAAGGTAGTGAAGGAAAGCGAGAAGAAAGGACTAAGTATAAACTAAAAGAAGACAGAATACAAGGTTATCAACCCAATGATAACATGGATGAGCCCCAAAATTACAAATCGGGGATACTAAAATCAAACAAGTACAGAAATTTAAATTTCTGTTCTAACAGAAGACGGAATGTGCGACACTGAGATCCGAAAACGTATTGGGATGGCCAAAGATGCTTTCCAAAAGCTAAGCAGAGTATTAAGAGACAGAAAAATTTTGTTAGAAACAAAGAAAAGAGTCCTGGACTGTTACGTGATATCTATCCTCCATACAGGAGGGTAGATATCGCGTAACAGTCCAGGAATGCTGAACAATCTCCTCAAAGATAAAAAAAGAGACTTGAAGCATCAGAAATGTGGTTCTACAGAAAGATACTGAGGATAACATAGACCGAATATGTGACCTAAAAAGAGGTTTTGGAGAAAAGGGAAACAAAAAGGAGACTTATATTTAACATCAGGTAGAGTCAGATGAAATTTATGGGGCACGTACTGAGGAAGGACGGCTTGGAAAACCTGATACTCACAGGACAAATTGAGGAAAAGAGGGACAGAGGAAAGCAGCGTGTAACGTACTTGATGAGAGAAATAGCAAAAAGACAAAACTTATTAACAACTAAAAGGGACAGGACGATGTAGAGGCCCATGATCACCTACGTCCCGAAAAAAGATTATCCCTCCCACTCCCTGTTTTGCCATCCAATTACACAAGCCCTTAGGCAGTTTTCTTGCTTTTGCCCTCTCTCCTTCTTGCCTTCAATAAGTTCTGTGTGTGTCAAATTTTCCAAGGCCCTCTCCTTATCCAGTGTCCTAAAAATTTCAACTCACTTATTTTAATTATAAGCGTTCTATCTGCTTTCATTTTTCTTAAAAATTTCCTCGTTACTTAGATGCTGCGTCTATGGTAATCTCAGCGTTCATCTGTC